TCCGGCGGGCTCCGGGCCCGCCTGCACCCACACGGTTACACCCACGGTGGGTTTAAATGGCAACAGAAAATGAAGGAGAGTAAAGGTAAAACCACGTATTTAACACAGCAAGACTAACATTGCTTTAAAATTAACTATTACTGGGTTTTAGAAGTTAGTAACTGACAAAGGCAAGCCAGGCTCCTCTGAATGCAAGATAAATTTAATTGTATTTTGTAATCATAGAATGGTTTCAGTTGGAAAAGACCTTTAAGATCATCAAGTCCAACCATCATGCACCATAATGTACCAGTGGTACCCAGATTACAGTCTGTATGGAGTGTGTGAGCCACAGCTGGTTTATGAAATAATTTTAAAAATGATTTGGCTTTTTTTATGGCTGCGCTTATGACCAGCAAAGAGACCTGTGTGTTGGTGTCTCCATTTAGTCAGTGTTCTGTCACCCAGTGACTCCTCCCCACCCAGGCTGGGGAACTGGGAAAAGGAAAGGAGATATGTGGGTTGAAATAAAAATAATATAGTAACGACAACAATAATAATAAGCAACACCAGTATTAATAGCAATATTAATATAAAGTACACAGAGTTATGCTCAGTCAATACAGTGGTTGCAGCAAGCGGGGAAGCAGGCCTTGGGAACAGAACAACTGGCGAGATCCTCCAAAGATGGTGACCACTGAGGAAAGAGGGACCATCCCCAGTGAACTCCCCAGCTCACAGTGAGCGTGAGGTTTATGGTATGGAATAGTTCTGTTGGCCAGCTTGTGTCAGCTGCCCTGGCTTTCCCTACCCCCAACATCTGCAGCTGGCTAAGTCAAAACTGCTGAAGACTTTGATCACTATAGGAACCCACATACCAGTGTTGGCCAAAACAAAGTGTCTTACCAACTTAGTTTTCTACTGAACTGAGTACCGCAGTCTTCTCAGAAATGCAGCTTTCCTGAATAGAAAACTGATTCTGTGATTTTCCCAGCAAAACCAGGACAGTCAGCAGTGAGTGTTCAGTTGTAGGGCTGTTGTCACAGCCGAGAAAAAGCTGTATTTGCTAGGGTTCTGGTCTGGACTCAGCAGAGGCAGAGCCCAGGGCAGGAAGGGACGGAGACAGCTCTACCAGCTGTTTTTATACTCTACTGCTAATATCCTGGTATTTCTCTTCTGAGCCCCATGGCTAGCTGAGTTCAGACTCCTGCACTAGCACACAGCTGAGTCAGACCACACTGTTTATGAACCGATCCAGTACCACTTTCAAGCAGTTCCTATTGGCTCCTATAATTTTAAGTCTGTCCCAGGCTCCAAACCGTCCCCATTTTCAGACTGAGTTTATTCACAGGCAGGTCATTTTACTTTTTCTGGGGCCAGCACTGCTTAGAATGATTTACAGATCTTATCTTTGCTGATTGCCTTCACCTTCTCCATGTATATGTGTGCACATGGATACATGTTTACAGATGTCATATATATGTATGTATGCATGTACATATTTACAAAATGGAGTAACATTCCTTCCTAGGCAAAAGAAGTCTCAGTCTTGCCAAGTCCTCTGGGATGACTTGTTTTTGGTTTCCTGTATCATCTTTGCTTTTTCCTGTACTTTTAAACACGGAATACCAAAACTGCAGATAATACTCTGCAGTTTGCTCTTTATTTCTGAAGTTATTGCATGTGTTAAAAAATGACTGATTTCTGAAGTTTTGAACAAAATGCAAATGGTCAGGCACACCAAAATTGCCAGGGGGTTTGCATGAACCAGGGAAGAATGGGGAAAAAAGAAGAAGTATCTCACAGATCAGTTTCACTAGTCTTCAGATTTCAAACACTGGTATATTTTCAGGCTTGTTTTGAAAGTTTATAGCTTTGTGAATACTATGCCAGTATAGATGCCTGTAACAGTTTATTTAGATTTTAATTTGCAAGTGGGGGTCTTAGGCATATGAATCTGTTGCTTATTTTCCAGTGCACATATTGCAGGCAAGCCTTATCTGTGTCTCTGTTTCTCCCTTTTTTCCCCACAAGCTTTTTTCATCCAAGAAAATGAAAAATACCATTATTGGTGTTTTTATTAGTTGGTTCTGGTGGAATAGTACTTAAGTGTATGCTTTCTGTATGTAAATCTAAATTGCTTCAATAACTGGAAAAAATCAGCTCACATTTCTATTTATGGGATATGCCACCCTAAATTTAATGTTTGTGAAAAACTGGGAAAGTCAATTGTTACTTTAAATGTCTGATAAAATAGGTTTAAAATTAAGGCACTGTTTTCACTTTGAAGTATGGCTGAATCAGGAGAACTTGAGCTTAAAAGACAGTGAAGACACTTCTTAAAAAAATACTTAAAGGTTACTGAAATAATATTAGTGCTTAATCCACAGACCACCAAATAACTACCTGGCTTTCTTCTACAAAATGACATTTGGAAAAACTGAGAAAAATACACAATTTGAGGTCAGTGCTACAATAAACAAGTTGCATGTTAGCTATGGAAGTTTTCAACCCTGGGATAAACCATATTTTCAAGTTGAGTAATGGTTACTTTATCATGTTTTAATGCCAAGGTGAAGATATTGCATGGCAATCTCACTCTGTATGGGCAAGCCTTTGAAATTCCACAGCCTCACAAAACACAGAAGAGTCAGACTGCAGATGTTGGGATGGCTGCTGATGGATGTTGCATAAATCGCCACTTTATTCACTGTGTGAAAACTGTGTGAAACTTTCCAAAGAAGAGAATCAGAACCAGGAAGAAAGTCCTATTGTTATATATTGTTATAATATAATTATATATATTGTTTTTTTATGAAAAAAATCTGGACTGAAAATATCAAAAGCATGATATGACTTTTTATTTGACAGCAAATTCTTTCTCTTAACCATTGGCTAATCACTCTATACACAAAAAAATGCCATGTAAGAGGCATGTAAGAGGCCCCTTGTGAGGAGAAATGGACTAGAAGTATTGGATTCTTTAAAGGAGTTCAGACTCAAATTTTCAAGTACAGAGTTGATGTTGTTTTGTCAGATTTTCTCTCTGGGTTAAAGCCTTCTGCTACTGTAAAATTACTGTTGATTGTTCATTCTGTATAGTAATGCCATCTTTTTGAAAGAGTAGTTTTAAGGACTAGGATTTACTGGAGTCAAGTCTAATATAACTAAAAGAATCTGACTGATGAGGCTAACCTGGTGTTTTTCTCCCCTACTTCCTCAGAATGACTACCTTTTGCATGATGAAACTTTTATGTCAAGCAACCAGAAATGAGAATAGATGTGCTAAAAGATTCATTGCTACTCTTCTGATACAAGCTCCTCAAAAAAGGGTCTTTTCTCCATTCTGGAGGATGGTACCTGACCCTACAAAGTCAACTGTGCCTGGACTTACTCAACCATTTTGTACAGCTGAAAAATCTTACACAGAATCGAAAACAAAAGCGGCATTTGGAAGTGCTGGGCGAAGAATTCCCTATCGGATTTTGCACGTAATCAGCCAGGATGGGGAGAGCTTAGGACATATGCACCGAGCAGAGGCACTCAAACTTATGGATAAACTTGATCTAAAACTCGTTCTTCTTCATGAGAATGCAGAACCTCCAGTGTACAGACTAATGACTGGGCAGCAGATTCATGAAGAACAGCTTAGACGCGCAGAGAAGAACAAAGCAAGTCCAAAACCAGGTATGTACATTGTTGATGCTGTAACACTGAGCACTTTGAAAAATGCTGCATTAAAAGTGGTTTCAGCAGATGAAATCCTCTTACTTGCATTTGTGTAAATCCAAAGCAATGTCACTGCAGTCCATGCTATTAAGGATTTGCAGTGGTGAAAATAAAATTTTGGATTACTCTAGTCTTCCACAGAGAAGCCTTCTATTGCCTTCTCAGGATTTACTATTTTGGCATCTGCTGGCTTTTTTTTTTTTAAATCTATTTTTATTTAGGTGAATATAACTAGACTCTGATTCCATGAGACTCACTGAATTTCTGTTCTTTTACTGAGGCATAAAGTGACAGGCAGTTTTTACAAATTGAGCACCAGATACACCAATATAATTTTGTTACCAGTAGTCATGAAACATGGAAACATTCCTAGCTTGCTGTTAGGAAGGCAAAGTCTGGAGCCATTTCTTGTACAGAGTAAGAGGCAACTTTTTCAATATTGAATACTTTTCAGTGTTTTCTCTTAAGTCAACCTGCTCCAACAGTTTAACAAACTGAGTTTAGCAAAGGTTTCAGAAAAGGCATCTGACCTCGTATCCTCTTTTTGTCCTAAGGCTAATGAAGGTATCAGTGTTTTGGATAGAGTTCTGATTTTAGAGGAGATCACTGTTGTGGTAGTAAGATTTTCTGTTCAAGAAATGGTAACTACTTTAAAGAATCATTAAGGAGGAAGAGATCATAAACTGTCCAAATATATTATAAGGCATACTTCCAGTCGAATATTGCACATCACTATTCAAGAAAATGGGCTTGAGATGAAGAGCTCTCTGACCTCCAAGCTTTTACATTCAGCTATACTATGTGCAGAATGTAGGAATTTGCATACCGAGTCTTTAATTCCAATGCCTATCTGTTCATCTTCTGTTAGACCTGCATCGTGGGTGGTATGAACAAAACTGCAATTAGAATAAAAATACTTTAAGCCTTCTAACCCTGAGGAGACTTCCCTGCGTGCCTCAAACACATGCTCAGTCTTCCGATTACAGCAGTTAGTGTGAAGTATCAAGTAGCCACTTTCTAAGGTGAGAGTGGTGCATGCTGAGACAGTAAGATGAGGATACTCTGTGTAAGAGACAGCAGCATGGGGAGAGTTAAGCAGACAGAGCACCATAAACTGTTAAAAGAGAGCAACTAATACAGGTTTGTCACATGTTAAGCCAACACAGTTTTAGTTCTGTTTTAAACAGGAATCGTTCAGAAGGAGCTATCCTTTTCTTCAGCTATTGCCAAGAACGACTTAGAGACCAAGACTAAACAGATAGCACAGTGGATTGAAAAGAAATACTATGTTAAAATTACCATCCGGCAAGCAAAAGATAGCAATACAGACATGGTAAGTGGACTCCTGAAAGTTGGAGCAATCAATTTCATTAAATAGGTGTATTTGTATTAACTTCCCTTATTCAGTACTGCCACATTTATTGTTAATATATCATGTACTGCTAAAACAAGTGAAGGTCTAGGTCCTGTGAAAGTAATAGTTGCCCGATCATAAGCTGCACCTATTCAAACACTGTAGTTCTAAAAATACACTCCCATAGAGACGACTCACATACTCAAATGCTTTCTTGAGAATGCAGTTATAATACTGGCTCTGACAGCAGTCTTAAGCAGTTCCTATGCAGCACCACCTTATTAACTGGGCTGGTGAAATTTTTCCATCTATGCCTGAAGCCAGCTCACTCACTGAAGAGTTTAACAGTACAGTTTAAAAGAAATTTTACTGTATTTTAGCTGGATTATTTCAATAACCTAACTGTTCTTCTGAAGGTGCATTTGTTCAGCTGTAGCTAAAGCTCCATTTCCACTGCTGTGTGGAAAACTGCTGGAATGATGTTTCAAGCCTGGCAAAGTAAACATCTGTAAAGATGTTAAGGAGCTAGTGGCAACTTACGAGTGGAATTGTAGAGCCTTGAGACTTGTCTTCATTGTCATTTGCACAAATGGCCTTTTATGAATATTCCATGTAAATTTTTTTTTTCCTTTTAATGCATGTAGTGAATTAGTCTTCCTTGTCAATTCTCTTTACTGAATTGCTAGAAAAAATTGTGGTATCACTTCATCTAAACTTTTTACAGGAAGTTGAATTCACAGGGAAAGGACAGCAGGAGGAAGAACTGGATATGGGAGGGAACATTTCATGATACAGTCCACACATTTAGGTTGTCTAGAAATTTAAAATCTTAATTATGAGCTTAAGTATTCAGCTTGTTATACAAATGCACTGCATCACTCAAAACAGTTCAAAACTACCACGTTCTGCTAACCTTAGAACAATACTGCTCCTCAAGAGGAAAGCCCCATAATATGATGCCCGAATCTAGTGGAAGAGGAGGGTGGGGAGGAATCAGTGCAGTTCACTTCAAAGATGTCCATGAAACAGCAAAACAGCATGAGTGAGGAATTCAGACCAAGTGTTAGGAAATGGCTTAATCCCTCTGGTGACCTTCCTAAACCTACTTGTGAGTAAAGAACAAATGGTTAGGAAAGGACAAGCTGAATTGCTCAAATTGCTAGGACTAGCAGCTAGCTGTCAAATTGCTAGGACTAGCAGCTAGCTGGCTTCAGCTAATAGCTACACCACATGCAGTATCATTACAGAACAGCCTGAAATACCTCTCTACCTGTGCTTGTGGATTTAGTCCCTATTTTTCTTCTTCTTTTCAGTTCACGCTTTTTGATAAGATTTTGGAGACTGTCTCTGAAAAAGCCACTTACCTTTCCAAGCCAAAAGTTACCAGAGAAGGAGTGAGTAACTGTATTTTGAGACACATGTCTGACAAAGAGTTGAAAGCATACCAGAAGATTGAAAAACAGAAAAACAATGCAGTAAAGAAAGATGAAAATGAAGATCTGAAGTGAGTTGCATTAATGACTTTATGAAGAGGTATAAACAATGTTAATTTCTTATACAAAAAAAAAACCAAACCCAAGCAAGAAAAACCCCATTTAAGTCTATAAACTTAATAAAGTTATTGTTGAAGAACACCATTCTCAGTTAACCTTTACTGCAGAGTCAGAATTTCAACAGTTGGTATTTCGTTTTCCATGAGCTTATCCATGGTCTTGCTCTCTGTCACAACTGCATCCTTTCCTGGCTGCGTTTTAGGAGGAATGTAGCCACTCAGACGAGAGGCTAAGCTCCTCTTAGGACGAGAACGCTTTGCCTGGCAGAAATAAATCCAGAATTAGCAACATAATACCTCTGTGGAGCAAAGACTACTAATGGGGGGCCAGGGTGCGGGGGAGGAGGGAAGAAATCAATGAACATTCTAGCACTGCTTTATTTAAAGCTTCCAAAATTAAGAATCTCCCAAATTAAGTGGACAGCTGGCCACTTTTCCTGACTGAAATCAGATTCTAAATCACGTAATCTTTGCCCTCCTCTGAAGTGACAGGGTATGGTTGAGAGGACTTTTTTGGAGAGTGTAACTTACTTTCAAGTTCAGCTTTCTCTTTTCAGGATCATGTACAACTGTGTGCCTTAATAGGCTCTGCTACAGTTACAAAAAGCAAGGAAGAATAAAAAAAAAGTTAGGTTCATCATTTCAGATTACATGATTTAGATTAGGGCAGTGTAAAAAATACATACCCTCATTGC